AGTTAAGATGTCAACATGAAATAGAAAAACCTTATTATTCTGCTAAATGTTTCACAGCAGTATGTTTTAATTGTAGTATTGCTGACATTGAGATATCAAGTAGCAAAGATATTTACCTGTATTGTAGTAAATGTGAGACAGGTCTAGGATTTAAGTGAAAAAGAGGAAAAGGTTTGAAGTTTGGTGGTGAAGAACATCAAAAGAAAAAAAGCCAAAAAGGCTTAAGTGCAAAAATTTTGACCAATAAAAAAATCCATGCAGTTGTATAACAAAATAGTTGTGAAATATAAATGTTAATGTAATCATGTGATGATAATAAAAAAATATTTGCAGTCCCTGATTGAAGTCACACAGCTGGTGATGAGAAACATAAAATTTAATTTGCTTGGCTTTAAAAAAAAATTATTATTAAAAATTAAAGATATAATAATATTTATTTTATAATTTTTTACTTTAAATTATTGGTAATCATCACTATTGGCCAGAATTATCAATTTTACTGGCACTATATTTTTTTAATGCTGGTCGATCATCATAATTTCAGTTACCAGTAATTATCATTCCTGGTAATAGTTAGAAAAATTTTATTTTTTATATTAATAAGTATTTAAAAATTACTGTAATTTCCTAAAAAAAAAATTAAAAAATTATTAATTAAGAAAAAATTTATTTTGAAAATTTTGAAAGTTATCATTTTCTCCTTTCCCTTAAAGAAATATAAAAAAAGAAATAAAAATTTAATAAATATAAACAAAAAAAAATAAAAATTCCCTAATTCTCTTTCCCTTATTTTATTACTTTTTACTAAAGTTTAGGTTGTACTTTTGTCCAGTATTCTTATAAAAAGAAGAAAAAAATGTTAGTTAACATTTCTTTAAAAAAAATTAAAAATTAAATTTTGCAATGCAACATCAGTTTGTTTTAATTTCCATTATCCAAACGTCTGGAACTTACAAAAAGTAAAAGAATAAAAATATTAGTTAACATTTTTTTTAATAAAAAAAATAATAAATTAAGTTTTGCAATATTGCAAAACTTATCAGTTTGTTTCAATTTTCATTATCCAATCCTACAAAAAAAAAGGAAACTTAGAAATGTTTCCTTACAAAAAAAAAATTTTTTTTAAAAGAATTGAAGTATACAATATGCTTTGAAATTTACCAATTTGCCTTCCAAAGTCAAATACTGAAAATCTCTACAAAAAAAATAGGAAACATTAGAAACATTTCCTTATAAAAAATTAAAATTTTTTTTTTTTAAAAAGTTTCAAAGCAAAATACTTTGAAACTTACCCTTTCAGTTTCTTGCTTCCCAAAGTTTAATACTGAAAGATCTACACAAAAAAATAGGAAGAAAATATTAGAAATATTTCCTAAAAGAAATTAAAAAAACAATAAAACTTACCCTTAATTTCCTAGATTTTCAAAATTGAATATTAAGATCTAAAAAAAGAAAGTATAGGAAGCGTTAGAAATGTTTCCTAAAATAAAAAAAAATTATTAAAAGTTTCAAAGCAAATGCTTCAAAACTTACTATTTTGTTAGAAGATTTTGGAAAGAAAAGGGAAAAGTGAAAGGCGAAGGTAAAAGGGAAGGTGAAGAAAGAAGGGAAGAGAAGAGGAGAAAAAGAGAGAAAAGAAAAAGAGGGAAGGTAAGAGAAAGAGGAAAGGGAAAAGGTGAAAGGGAAAGGTGAAAGAAAGAGGGTGAAAGAAAGAAAATTGAGAGTTGTAAGAAAAAAAAAATTAAACTTTTACTGAAAAAGCTTAATTTTTTTGCAGCTGAAGCTGTAGTAATTATTAAGTAATATCACGTGATACACATAATATATAAATAGGGGACTTTTTTTCAAAACTATTTTTTTAATTTAATGATAGATACCTATATATATACATATATATATATCTATCTAATAATGTTACAAAAAGCCCCTTTTCTGTACTATAAAGTACCTATAGAAGGAGAGCCATTGCTGCTCCCTCTGCCTGTTTATAGTGACAAAAAAAGGAGTCTTCAGTAATAAGGTTTAGTATTAAATTAAACAACACATCATAACACATACATTGTTAATATTAACAATGTATTTAATGTTAAATATAAATATTATATAAATATTATAAATTTAATCATGTTTGTGATTTTTGCAAATAATTTTTGACAATTTTAATGTAATTAAGTGTAATACTACATTATCCAGTGTAATTGTAGTATTTTTTTATATTTTTTAGCGCAATTCCACATTTTCTAGCATAATGTTACATTTTCCAGCATAACGTAAAATTTTCTAAAAAATATAATAATTGTAGTACTTTTTAGTGTAATGCTACATTGTCCAGTGTAATTGTGGTATTTTTTGGTGCAATGCTGCATAATCTAGTATAGTGCTACATTTTTTTGTATAATTTAATGTAATATGGAATTTTCCAAAAAATGTGATAATTGGGATGTTTTTTAATGTAATTTGATGAAATGCTACATTTTCCAGTGTAATGCTATATTATTGAGTATTTTCCAAAAAAAAATGTAACATCTTAATATTCTGACAGAAATGAAACATTTGACCAAAAAAACATGAAATTTGCTAAAAAAATGCAACATTTGACAAAAAATATAGAATTTTCATAAAAAATGTAATAATGGTGTAGTTAGCCAAAAAATTCAGCCAAAGGCGCAGTAAATTTTTGGCTAACAACACCCAGCCGAAAAAAATTCATGTTGATCTTGAATATTTTTTGAATATTATATTAGTTCAACATCTACTATTTTTGGCTAGATATTTACGGCTAACTACATTATTATTTTAAAAAAGTGTAGTTAGCCGTAAATATCAAATGTAATACAATAATTTAAGTGGTAACAGGTAATGAAAATCCTGATTGTTCATATTACAATATTTACCATTATTATTTAATGGTAAATATTATGTAATTATTATAATAATAATAATTATATACTTTTCTTGATAATATTAATTTATGTAATACAGAATCGTCAATTATTAAATGGTATTGTTTGGTGTAAAATTGTTTCTTTAAAATGTTTAATTTTAATATTTGCTTGTAAATAATTTTTAAATTCTTTGGTTTTCTTTTTAAAAAGTTAAATACCAGTTTTTATTTTTTTTGATTGATTTGAATTAGTTCTAACAATTCTAATGATCTGCATGGTTAATTATAGCTATCGGAAAATTATATTATAGACGCAGTAAGTATTACTTATATCCTGGCTAATTAGGAATAAGTAAAATTTTACTAGGATCAGATAAATGATCAGCCGATAGGCCGATCATGTTCCGATTTTAAAGTAAAATTTTACTATTCCAATTAGCCAGGATATAATTGATTTATCTCCTGTCATTTACGTAATCAAAGCTTACTAATAGTCTAATAGTCTAATATTGTATAAAAAGCCCCAAATTTAATTTTAAAAGCTTATTTCTCCTTTTCTCTATATTAATATGGCTAGTTTTATGAAAGCTTCTGAATTATTGATTTCAAAAAATAATACTGTTATTTTAGACGAACTAAAAGAAAAGTTAAGTCATATAGAAAATGCACAACTTTCTGAAATATACAAAGAACCTTCAAAATCATCCACTTTTAAAGAAACATATAACCATCCTTGTATAGAAACTTTACAAAAGTATGCTACAGTTGCAAAACCTAAAAATACTCAACAAAATACACGTTTATGGTTTTCTAGATTTGACGAATTTGTAAAAAATACACAACCTGCTATAGATTTACTTACTCTTTATGATAAAAAGGTTATTGCACTACTTTTATGTGAATTTATAATAGTTATAAAAACAAGGTAGAATAAAGAATACAAAGCAAACTCTTTATACAATGGGATATGTGCTATAAATAGGTTCTATCAGGAAATATTTAAAACTAATGAATCATTTAATATATATACATGAAGATCATGAGTTTAGATCTGTACATGATACTTTACATGCTAGAATGATTGAATTAGAAGAAATTAATAATGACGATTATAATGGAGCTGATCCTTTTACTAATGAAGAAATGATCCAAATATTTGAACATCCTGATATGTCAAATAATATGCCAGATGGACTATTAAGAAGGGTCTTTTTATGGGTTGGATGTTGTACAGCACGGAGAGGTGGATCTTACCATAATATTATGGCTGAACATTTTAAAGAACGAGATGATGGTGGATTTAATGTTATAACAATTCACGATAAAACTCATCAAGGTGGGTATTACCATAAAACAAATTCTAATCAACATC